GGTATATTATTATATAGCCGATATTTACATTTAATCTTTCTATAATATAGATAACTATTAGTTTACTGATATATTACTCGATATGCATATCAGTTAACTAATAGGACTATATAGGTATATTCTATTATTTTATCATTATTCATGTATTCGACCTGTGTAAGTCTGAATGAATTTGGCTATTGTACAAAAGGCAGTAAAGCATAATACGATTATAAATATGGAATCATATGTAAAAATAATGGAATATTAGTAACCTCTAGTGACATGCTTCTGCAGTATCTTCAGTGACACGCTTTTGAGATTATTTTTTTTTATAAGGAAATTATAGAAATACCCAAAAAAAAATAAAATTACATGTAACAGTTCATGCACATGATCTGTTAACATATCAATATATTTAAGTCTAAGTGATAGAGATAAAATAGAAATATCTCAATTATTAATTTCAAAATCTGTTTTAAGCCAACACTGCACTAATCTCTTCTGTATTTAACATTAGAAGTAATGTCTTAATAGGTCTTATGTCTTTAAACTGGTGTCTTGGTTCACTCAAAATATCAGTACAATTTACTAGGCATGAAAATAAAGGTTTATAATCTTTGTACTCATTCTAAGGCATTTAAATATTTTTATGATGACTTCGTTCGATAAATGTATGAAAAGTTGATGCATCATTTTACTAATATAATTTTTTTTGATGGAAAATCCAAGAATTTTTTTAGCAAATTTAGGGAAAAAATAGATATATAATCTCTATTTAAAAAATTATCATGTGACAACACATTGGGAACATGAACTACAAACTTATTCATTATCAATTTTCTCAGCAATAATTAACACTTATAGCAATAATATTTATTCATACAAAAGTTGAAATTATTAAATATCCAAGAAGTGACAATAAACAATTTCAACTCAATAAGTAATCGAAGCTGCTAAGATCGGAGATTTTTGTGTGTATTAATTTATTATGCATCATTACTTTGTGATCAAAATAAAATTTTTAGTAATATGTTGTAGTGAAAAAGAATCTTTATTTTAAACAAAAGTATTTATCAAAAAAAATTAAAAAAATCAAAAAATTAATCTATCAAATGCCTAATTTAATGCGTCTAAATACTTTCAAAAAATAATTGATTGCACTATAAATTGAATTAATAAATGCAGCAAATTGATTTATTATTTGTACGTGAAAGAAAAAATTTCTGTTTGTATCAAAAATAGACTGTAAAATTTTAATTTGGTTATTCATATTGAATGCAATTGCTATGAATAAAAGTGTCAAGATAAAACACATAAAAACAAACATAAAATTACGAAGTTTTGAACGTCCTTGACTAATAAAAACAGTGGCATTAGCATTTACTTGATTGATAAGAGATGAAACCTGAATTTGGTTAATATCCGTTGTATTAGCAGTTGCTGTTTCATAGGTAGAACAATAATCTGGCAACTCATCTTGACTAATGCTGCTTTCATTATTGATGCTAACATTAGTTCACAGAAATCGAAAAAACATTTCCATTATCTGTTTACTTGAAATATTGGTGGTTTGGAAACTTCCAGGTTGAAGTTCATAATTATTCTGTTGAGGAAAAAAATTGGTTTGAATGTTGCGATGTTGAAGATTATTTTGTTAATGCTGAGGTTGATTAGGTTGAAGTTGAAAAACATTATTCTGTTGAATTTGATCATAGATAGGTTGATGATGACAATTAGGATTATTATTCTGCTGAAATTGATGAATGAATTGGTTAGGCTGCCAATTAGGATCAGAGGGAGGCTGTAAACTAGAATTATAAAGAAATTGATTAGGTTAATTTGGTTGAATGGTTTGAAAATTATGTCGGTGAGGAATATCATAATTTTGACAGTCATTAGGTCCTGAATACATGACTTGTTCTCATTGACAAAGAATCTGTAATTCTTCTCTTCTTCTTGCATCGTAGAATAAACAATAACCGTTATATTCAACACAGTAATAAGAGTATTCTCCTGGCATATTATTGTTTTTTCTTAGACAAAGAATAATTTGGCAACTGTAGAATTTTGAGCTTTTATATAATATTTTAATGGATAATTTCTTAATCGATTTTCTAAAAAGCTATTTTTTTTATTTGTTCTCAACCTACCATGGGCAGTCAATAAACTTACAGTTTTGGAAAAACATATTAAATTTTACTTGTTTGAGAAGAGCTGCATTAAGAGGTCAGTCAATAGATTTGTATACAGTATCTGATAACTAGTCAATAAACTTAACATCGCAGATGATTTAAAGATAGAACAACTTCTACGCATGAAATTTTTATGATGTTGAATTATTACAAGAATAAATCAATTAAACTTTTGATTATGTTATGAGAATGAACTGCTATAATTAGTCAGTCAATGAACTTGCTAGTTTTGACAGAATTGAAAATATGTACAATCAGATCGTGGTTTATTAAATATTACAATTGAATGATTTAGAGATAAATAACTCATGCGTGTGCAGTCAATAGATTGCTAAGATAAACTTTTCTGATAAAAATCGCGTGAAATTATATTTTGTTTACATGATGCTCTAAAAAAAGTTCAAAAATTCGAACTGTCCAAAGGGGCCATAGTAATTGATTAAAGATTATCTCTTTGAATTATACATAAATTTACTTCGATATATATTTATAAACCAGTTTTTAAAAGAATTCGATTTCAAGAATGAAACCAGATTGCATGCACATACATATATAATGATAACAGAAAATACTGATTACAGTATACTGCAATATATTTCAAGATCATAAAAACCTGTTTTATGCTAATCTAACATTAATATAAAAGTACTCCAATTAAAGTTCAGCTATTGATTTTTATATCAGCCAATCAGATGAACAGCTCTAATTTGATGCATTAGTGCACATATTAAGAATTCTTATCTGTGATTAGCTAATTACACAGCAGAAAAGACATGTATCTCATGATTGTTCAGAGCCAAATGCCTAGAAGTATAATATCCTAAGCTATGCTTCGAACAATAATTATGTTGCATGTTGCTGTCAATTCTGAGAAATGAGAATAATAGAAGTTTAAGTTGCAAAATAGATTTAGTAAATTGTTATTTATTAATTTCATTAAAACATATATTTTTTTCAATCATGTTATAAAGATATGATAAAAATTTTCTTTCAAAAAAAGATTTATTATGAAGATACTTTTATATATATATATTCGTTAAATGTTTATTTCTTTAATTTTATCAAATAAGAATATTTATATTTCAATAAAACATAAGATTTATTTATTTATTCAAAATTTAAAAGTATATATGACTTTATTTTCTTTCCTTACTTTGTAATTTCTGCTTCTACTTGTTTTTACAATTATTTTTTTTCCTCTGTTCTACAACTCTATCTAATTTCTCATTTTCCAATTCTTCTATCCTTTGATTTTTTCCTTTAACTTGTTGTTGCAAATCACTGATTGTCTCTACCAATTCTGCTTCAACTCTTTCTTTTTCATCAAGTATATCTTTTATTTTATTTTCCAATTCTTCAATCCCTCTTATATTTATTTTATTTTTTGTTCGTAAATCTGTGTATTTAATGTTAAGAGCTTCATGTGTTTTTTTAAGACTGGCAAGTATTATTTGGAGTTCTATATATTTATTGTCGAGTTCCTTGATTTTCTTTTTGGATTCTGAAATTTGTGTTTTAAGATTTGTATGAGACGTTTTAAAATTTGTGTGCTTCAACTCAAGAATTGCATGTTTTGTTTTTAGGTTGGAATGAATTTCTTCGAGAGTTTTATATCTTTGCTTGAGATCTTTATTTTCTGATTCGAGAGTTAAAATTTTTTCTTGATATGCTGTGTTCTTTACTTGTAAATCTGCATTTTTCAATTTGTGAACTGCATTTCTTTCTCTTAAGTTCATGTTTTCTGATTCGAGAGTTAATTCTTGGGAAGATTTTATATTCACAAAAAGTTTTATCTAATAATATATAATCAGTTATTTTAATAATTATTGATGTTTGAATATTGGCAAAATCTAAAAATACCTACTTGTTCAAAGATAATTTCGAATAATTTTTTGTTATACTAAACAATATACAATCAGAATCAATTTGTTCAAATTTTGACAAATTTTATAAATGCATTTATAAAGTTTACCATTCCAACAGTGTTATAATTTTTCTATTCACCAGATAAAATTTTTTAATCATATGAAATAGATATTCATTAATCAATTAATTCAATATTTATTACCTTAATAAGATAACTGAAAATTAATAAAGCCAATAATATGACCCAGATGTATTTTTTGTAACTTCAGCTACTACTAGTACAAATAATGACTGCTTGTTATTGTTGAGAATGGTTATTTGGAGTTACTAAGCAATTTTCATCAAGATTTGAATTTGGATGGGCTAAAGACTAACTTTTCTCATTAACTAATGATTTAGTTGGATCCAAATAAGCTAAAGAATGACTTGAAGTTGGACAATTTTGAATCCTGTTAACAAGATTTGACAAAGTTGAACGATTTTGATTATTTAATATTTGGCTTGAATTATTTTGAATAACTAATATGCTGTTGTCTGATATCTCTAAATCACATTGATCGTCTAAATTCTGAGTCTTAATAACTAATGCTTGTTCATGTTGACTAATTAAAGATTCTGTTGAACTATTCAAAATTTCTTGATTAATTAACATTTCGGTTGAGCTATTAAAACTTTCTTGATAAATATTATTTGGAGGCTTTAATTCTTTCTTGAATTTTTTTTTCTTGTTCTTCTCTATTATTACCGAGAATATAATTAAATTATTCACCTTGATAAATAATTACTCAAAAAAAAATGAAAAATTTATACTAATAAATCCCAAGTGGCTGTGAAAAAATAATCTTTATTATAACCATCAGTTTTTTTTAAGTCATCATTAATTCTTCATACTTCATTATGAAACTGATTTGATTGATTAGAAAAACATTTGCTTAGATCAGTTACTGGTGGTTTAAGAGTTTCATATTTAAAATATTATTCTGTTTGTAAGTACAACAAGTCTCAGTTTCTATCATAGAAGAAAGCATTGTGTTAGAGGTTAAATGCAGCACTAAGTTTTTGTATGACATTAAGATCTGAAGCATCTGTAGGAATAGTGGCAGCAGACCTGACTTGAAATACAGATTAGTTAAAAGACCAATAATAACAGCAAGTCTGGCTTGAGATATAGATTTATTGCAGATTCTAGACTATTGTTAGAACATCTTAAAAGAATCAATAACAGACATATCAAAGATAGAAGATTATAAGGATCAGATATACTTGAGTAAGACCAATTTGGAAGTAATATAGTGACAAAAAGATGAGAAATATAAGGAACAAGGTAATACTAGATATAGTTAGATTAAAAGGCAGAAGAAACAAGACCAGATAAAATATGTGAGTAAGACACATAGGTATGATTTACAGAAGACAGTACTTCTGGCATTTGGAATGCTATATTAAGTTTGATAGATATTCTTGTCTGTGTAGTAGTTTAATGATATGCTCTGATCACAAGTAGTTGTTAAGATAACTGCATACAGGCATGTAGCAAACATGCATTTAGATGCCATAAAGGTAACCAGGTAAAGTCAGTAGTGTAAAATTAGATAATATATAGTACTAGTAATAATTGATCCTAAAATATAACTGTAAATTTATATTATATCAAATTAAAGTTAATAAACTAATTGGCATTGTTATCAAAGTTAAAAAAAAAAAATAAATAAAATATAATAAAATAAATTAGCAAAAATAAGTTTTTAAAAAACAAGTTACTAAATTTAATAAACTTAATATTTTAGTTTATTAACTAAATTAAAATATTTTAGAGAGAAATGTAATAACCTAATAAAGTAATCAGATTGTTAACCTCCCAAGTGGTAGGTTGGGTGTTCAAATTCTATTAACAGTGAAAATTTAAATAATCATCTATATAATATTCATATTATAGCAATTGTTACTAATGATTGAGTTAGGATACCTGTAATAATAATCACATCAGTATAACTAACAGGTCATAGGGCATCTGTATAACTTGTTATATAAAGAAATACAAACCAATAATCAGCCAATGCAAACACTAAATAAGTTCTTATGGCTGTGTAAATCTGTTAAAATTAGATAACAAAAGGTTTATTTAAAAAGATCTGAATAAAGAAGAAGTTAGATCTTTGATGGTTTTACTGTAAAAACTAGCTTAGAGAAATAGATACCAGGGTCATAGTACCCAGTTGTAGTAGCCAAATAGGCAAGAACTTTTGGGTTAAAAGTCTTGAAGTTACTACCAACTAGGCTACTAGAATGAATCAGAAGAAAAGAATATTAGGCTAACCTGATATACTGATAGACTGGTTATAATCCTATACAGTTTATCTGAATTAAAAGTTTAGTAAAAAGGCTAAACAAAAGGCAGAAGTATACTAAAATACCAGGTTATATTGTAAAGTAGATGCTAGGGTTTGTGTAAACTCTATAAAAACATAGCAACAAATGATATAACTCTGATCACAAGTGTTAGTTTTGTTATAGCAATACTTAGATTAGCTATAAAAATAGTTACAAAAGGCTCTGAAGGGTTTACCTTAAGGATAAATTAGTTCTAAGATTAAAACAATAATTTAAACATTTGGGTATGATCTAATAAGTTAATATAGGTTACAGGTTCAAAGAGTTTAAAGTAGAACATCCAAGCAGAGGTGTTAGATATGACAATTGATAAAGAACTTTCAGGTGGACTTTTTAAATAAGTAATATAGAAAAGTTACACATGTAACTAATTATACTCTTTTTTGTAGTAATTTATAAAATCACATTACCAATAAGTTATTAATAAAAATCAAAAGACCAAAAGATAATCTTAATATTAAAAAAAAAAAAATTTAAGTAAACTTATAAATTGATAGTGCAGTAGTTAGTACTTCTAGATTTTAATTACAAAGTTATAAGTTTGAGTTTGAAAGGTAATAACAACTTTGCCAGGATTATAATTAAAAAAAAAGATCTGTATAAAACTTTTATTTAAAAACAAAAACAAAATTTATATAAAGAAAATACAGTTATTGGCATAGCTACAGAGTTGAAAACAACAAGATAAGGCATAATCTATTAACAAATAATGTTAATATTAAGAGAGTCTAATTTAAAAATATATAATAATAGAATTAAGAACTTTGAAATATATAGACAATTTGACTAGTAAATTATATGAAGTTAAGGAACTATGAGCTGAAAAAAATAGTAGATCTTATATTATAAAGCTAGAAACCCAAAATATCATATAATAGACTTAATAAAATATAGGGGAATTTACAAATAAGGGCCCAAAAAGTGAAAATAATTACAAATATGGGCCCAAATTAAAAATAATTACACATGAGAACCTAGTTTTTAAAAAAATACTACATATAGGGGCCTAAGTATGAAAAAACATGATCATGAAACTACTGTCCACAAGGTACTCTGACCATTTGACTTATAACAATAGCAAAATCGCGATTATAAGATAATTGGTTGTTTTATTATAGACACTTGGAGTTATCTAGATATCAATTATTAGATAAAAAATAAATGAAACGCTGGCTACAATTATTTTTGCTTAAATAAAAATAGTGTTAAACTAGCACAATTATTTATAAGACGATGAAGTTTTAATAAAGTATCTCTCAAGAACCGAACAATTATCTTCATATTAGTAAATGTCATTCCAATTCACAATGTATAACAATAACTGAATTTATACAAGAAAAAAATAAATTTAAAAAATTTCTTTTTTCATTTATTATTACTAATTTACAATTGATCGTTACATTTATCAATGCTTATATTCTTATGTAATAACGATCAAGCCATAGGATTGAATAATGTCGCTATTATTTTGGGCCCTTATATGTAATATTTTTTAAAAATTAGGCCCTTTTATGTAATTATTTTTAATTTGGACCCGTATTTGTAATTATT